GCATATGGATAGCAGGATCCATCTTGAGACAGTTGGTCCCTTTACATCCATAGTGAGGATGAAGAGAAAGATGCACATTGATGCTAGGCTCATTTTCCTTTTCCTTTCCATCATTCTGGTACCCCATCCTAAGAAACAATTCTGCTCATAGTCGCAGGTCTTCTTAATTAACACAATCCAGAAACTCCCTTCATGGATATCCCAGGTAGTTTGTTCTCTTGGGATCCTAAATTTCATTAATGTGACAATCAAGATTAACCTATCACAGCCTTAAATTGGTAATGGCTTGTCTATGGCACCAAGACTCTCCCTGAGGATAAACAACAGTCATTTCCTATACAATGCCATAGGAGTCTTAGAAGACTTGACAACTTTTCTCAGTAACTGCAGTCTCAGGAATACAGTGGATGGATGATTTATTTGTAGATAGCTGAGGTGTCCATTTTTCAAGTATTAGAGTCACAAGAAGGACTATGCTACTGATGCTGCATTTATAGAACATTCAGACAGGAAGACCTGGAGCTGGTGGCAAAGTCTTTTGCCCCTTCATCTTCATCTCTGAAAAGTAATATTTTGGTGCATCCCATCCCTCGTTTTTGTACTCCTCATCCTGCAGTTTCCTGGTGTTAGGTGTTGGAAAGCATCTTGCCAAAGCTCGGCAGAACAGCCATCTTTCCTGGATTTATAGGATCTTGTTTCTGCTTCCATCTGAGAGGCTCATATTTTGTCTTTGGTTGCAGGTGCAAAGCTGAGAAGATTCATGGTTGTAGCTGAGAAGACACACAGAGGCACACGCTGTGCGAATTATTTTCATGTGAATAATATACTCAGGGGGTCTCAACATGATCATGCCAGGCTTATCCTGATCTGAGCCTAGGATTTCCATTTTGATTTTTAAAATTAACTTACTTATGTATTTCTGTTTTTATCCATATGTGTTCACTACTCACAATGCTGAATGAATTTTAAAAAACAAATTTCATCCATAATGTCATCAATGATATTAAAAGTTTTAAAACCACCTATGTAGGCATCTATCCAACTATCCAAGCATCCGTTTGTTATTGTATAATCTAGCGTTTAAGCAGCTGTTATTAGAAAGTGTTGCCATCTATTTATAGTAAATACATATAGCATTGTTTGGGGAATTCTTTTACTTTGACAATATATACTTTTATTTGTGACAACATACACAATATCCGCTGTTTTTGGTGTGTGTGTTGTATAGACATGTGTGACTGCATGAACTCATAGTACACATGCGGAGGGTAGAGAAGACCATTGAGTATATTTGTCGGCTACTCTCTACCACACTTTTGGAGACTATGTTTTCCGTTGAACCTTCCGCTCCTCATTGTGTCTCTGTTGGTTTGGCCAGCAGCTCGGAAGAACCCTCAGTGCAGGGAGGGCGAGCACAGGCACGACCATGCCAGCTTACTACTTAGGGATTTGAACCCAGGACTTCATACTTACACAGAGAGTGCTCGTATTCACAGAGCCATTTTAATATTAGAGCAAATTTACTGGGAGCTCAATGGATATGTTCATAGATGGCCTGGGTGGAATAAGCAAGCATGTGTATTGGTTTTGATTTCTATTTTGGTGCTGATATCCCTCTGTCATTAGAGAAAAGCTTTCTTACAGCATATGTATAATTCGGGCTTGAGAGTGAGCTCTGTAAACATCAGCCCCTGCAATTTTCAAAGGACTCCATGTAGGTGCCTCAGGGTTTCTTTGGATTGAGGAGGAAGACAATTTAGAATGCTCCTTCCGGGGCTGCTCCACTTCCCTTGTTATAAATACTGTCAGCGTTCACAGGGTGACATTTTATTTTACTGTACTTATTTATTTTGAGTCTGAAGGTTCTCAGGGCTTCAAAATATCTGCAAAATGCTGTTCTTTGTGCAGCATCTCAATAGAGAGCTCGTCTCTCCTCCAGGTTTCGCAGGTCTCCCGAGTGTTCTGTGAGGTCTGTCTTGGCCTTCACATACACATGCATCCTCATGCTTGTATAAGTGCACACACACACACACACACACACACACACACACACACACACAAAGTGTATGCACACATGTAAACCATACACATTAAAGATAAAAAAGGGCTTATTTCAACTCATAACTTTTGGAGGGTTTAATACATGACCCATGTCTCACCTTTATTTGGGGGCCAGTAGTGAGGCAACACATTATGATGGGGATGCCTGAAAACAACAACAACAACAACAACAAAACCATTGAGCTCATGACATAATGAAACAGGAGAGGGGAAGGCAGTGCTGAATTTCCTTGCTCTCTTCGTGGACATACCCTGACACCAAAGACTGTCTACTAGTCCCAAGCTCTTAAAGGTTCTACCACCTCCCCAAAGAGCCAAAGTACTGACAAAATCTATAAAAAGAGAGCTTCTGGGGGCATTCAAGATCCAAAGTGTGGCAATTCACAACCCAGAAAAAAGCAGTTGACATTAGAAGACACACTTGTGACTCAAAGTGGAATCAATTGAATTGTTTGCTTTACTATATCATTGGTGACACAGGACTTAAGTGTCCCTGGCCCTCCGTAACAGGATGAGGCAATTGATAAGGTTGAAATGACTGCTATGACAGTGCTGGGGGAAGAAAGTAAAAACCAGACAGGCCTCCACTGTTAGGTAGATGAGCCAGTTTAGTGTGGTAGAAGCAGACAAACTTTTCCTCCTGCTTCACAAAGATCAAGACAGGTTGTCAAGGGACAGTTTTATTTATTTATTTAATAAAGATTTATGTGACATGAAGGACTTCAAAAACTCCTTGGGAAAGGAGCTCATTTTGATGCTTTTAGCCTCAGTGAAGTACAGTCAGACACATAGAAATGTGAAATAGTGTGATCTGACCCTGTAGTCAGAGCCTGGATCCTGGCAACGTGAGCAAGCCAAGCTTGGCCATCTGCCCTCAGTAAGCCAACTCAAAGAATAAGTCACAGGGAAAAGAACAAAAAAGAAGAATACTGATCTAACATGGCTACCCTGGGGAGATGGAGAGAGAGGTACAGTGATCCCCCTAAGTTACAGTGGGATAGTGACGCAAGGTCTGGGTTTAAGTTGAGTGTCAGAGGAACACACAGCTAAGAAGTCCTGATCCCACTGTAGGATGTGGTCCTGCCCATCATCTTTGTTAGGACAGGTCTTCTCTGAAAGGAAGTCTGATAAGTTACCAGAACTGTGAAAAAAATTTTCAGGACACCGACTCCTCCTGCAGCTGCTACTAGGGCTTCACCCATTTCATTTCCCCAACGTTTTAGTGACCATTGTCTCAATAACCTGCTAGTCAAAGGGTACCCATGTATTTCTAGAATACCTTCATTCCTGCCAGCATGTTTACACAAACAGCAGCAGACTAAGGAGGGAGCTCTCCAGACTCTTCTGAATGATCGATCCAGTTAGTGATCCCTCCTCCCACACGATGCACCAGGATCTTTCTGCAGTGGCGGTTTTCCCATGAAAAGGAGGCTACAAAGCTTTCCAGGCTGTGCCTTACTTTGGGAAAATGAAGTTCTCTTTTCTGTGACCCTCTTGAGGAAGAGTCCTGTGGTTCATTTTCCTCACGGTAGAGGAGTCAGAGGACAGGATGGCCAGAGGTCGGAAAGAGCTCTGGAGTCAGCCCTTTCGTAACTTCCTCTGTTCAAAACACTCACTACACCAAAGAACTCTAATTGGAGACATTGTGTTCTAAGCTTCAAGAGCATTTAACTCTAAGCAATGTGAAAGTAGAAACAACTTCAAACACACTTCTGTTCAAGCTCAAAGGTGGCGTAAGGGGTCAGAGATCCCTCAAATTAGGGCATGATCTGTCTCCCAGTCCAAACGCCAACCACAGACCGGGAAGTACTGGATACTGCTACTGCTCTCTGCTCCGTGACTGGTGTCAGTATTAGTGAAGAACGAGAAAAATCCTATAAGGTAATTGCTGAAGTTGTTCATGAAGCAAGTGAGGGGTTTGGAGCGTAGCCTGTCGCTTTACTGTTACGTCTATGATCCTGTCTGAGAATAAACCATTTTCTTATAAACATGGGTCAGCATCCCAGCCATTTTACCGTGTGCCCTGAGAGTCTCAGGATTCATGGCTAGTTTGTTTCTTAAGCCTTATCCCCCAGAGTCTCTGGTTATGTGGATGACACCAGGGAGCATCGCAAACCCTTCTCCTCCAACTTGCACATCTGACCAATTCGACCTTTCTGGTATAATTCCAGTTCTACCACTGTAACTTCAGGACTCAAAGACATTTGATGTTACACATCTTCCCTTAGACAACCCAATGCTTCTTTCCCTGGAAAGAAGCTGCTTTTCTCTCTGCTGTGAGGAAATACCTGAGGCAAACATTTTTAAAGGGAGGGTTTATTTTAGCTCACAGTTTGAAGGTGCCTTCCATCATGGTGGAAGTCATGGCAGCAGGAGCTTGCAGTAGCTATCACAGTGTATCCATAAGAAAGAAGCAGGAGGCTGGTGCTCAGCTCCCGTTCTCCTTTTTGTACTCCAGGAGCCCAGCCCATGGGTTGGTGCTGCCCGCAGTTAACATCTTAGTTAACATCCTCTGGATGATCCTTTATAGACATGCACAGAGGCTTGTCTCCTGTGTGATTCTTGGTGCTACCAAGTCGTCAACAGTCTCTTCTTCCTCTCGCACACCTTCATGACCACACACAACTTCCTAAAACAGTTCTCACATGTTGTATACAGAACGTCTGTCCTACCTTCTTTAGTATGTACCACCTACCTCATGAGAGGACGGATGATGCGATATGTGCCTCCTTTCCTTCTTTCTTTCTCTCTTTAAACTCTTTTTTCATTGGTGACCCAACACCCAGATATCAAAGAATCACACAGAGATTTATTATTACTTATAAATGGGCAGCCTTAGCTTGGCTTGTTTCTAGCCAGCTTTTTTTTTTAATTTAAATTATCCCAACTACCTTTGACTTCTCGGCTTTTATCTTTCTCTGTTTCTGTACATCTTTTCCCCTCCTTCTTATTCCATGTCTGACTGTGAGGCTGGCTGCCAGCATCCTTCTCTCCTCCTTTTCTTGCCTCCCTCTCTTTTTGTCCTACTTGTTTTCTCTGCCTGTCAGCCCCACCTATACATTTTCTGCCTACCTATCTGTTGTTCAGTTCTTTATTAGACCAGTCAGTTGTTTGGGGCAGGTAAATTAACACAGTTTCACAGAGCTAAACAAATGTAACCTAAAAGAATGCAACACATCTTTAATGTATCATTGAACAAATAGTCCACAGCTTAAACAAATGTAACACATCTTCAACTAATATTCGACAACAATTATATGAATATATATATTATATATATGGATATATATATATCTTGTTTCTCTTCAGATTGCATTAATGTTTTGCATTTTGCTAAAGATTTCCAAGGAGAGATGGTATTATGTTCATTTTCCTCTGTGTCACTGGTAACATGGAACAATGTATAACCAGCTTGAATTTGATGAATGAATGGCAAGACTCCTAAAGTATCCTTACTCAGTTACTATATTCTCTAAATTTTTAATACTTTTTTTTGTTAATTAACATACTTATTAATAAGTAAGCTCAAAGCAGGTGGCTAGTCTTCGCTTTAGGAATTTTCAGTGCATTGAGATGACAAATGACAAAATGTGTACAAACAACTAATTCTCTACACAATAATAAAAGAATGAAGAGTTCCTTTCCCCTCACCATTCTATTCCATGAAGAAGATAAAGCACTGAGGATATAGCTCAGTTGGTATAGTATTTGCCTAGCCTGAAGGTTAATATCCAGCACTGTATAAAACTAGACATAGTGACTGACAATTGTAATATCAACACTGTGTAGGAAAAGGCAGGAGGCTCAGAAATACAAAGTCATCTCAAGCTCCATAGACTCTACCCTGGGTGAGCTGCCATGACACCCTACTGTCTCAAAAAAAAATATACCAAACCAAACCAAACTGAAAACAAACACACAAACAAAAAAAATAGAACCCCCACCTGCAAAAGAAATCAAAAACAAGAAAATAAACTGAAAAATTCAGACCAGAACAGTTCAAAATCGGTTTGCAATCTCATGTTTCAGCTTATTTTAGTCTATAGCAAATGCTTGCCCAGACTAATGTTATTTATTTCATTAATACTGTGTTTGTTTGTGAGGCAAATGTGAGTCAGTGTGAACACGTCACTGGTGTCTTTTCAAGAGACTGTATGCCTATTTTTTTTCTCATTGTACATACATCGTTTTAGTATTTCATTTTATCATATTCATTCTTGAGTTCAGGAATGTTCAACTAACTCTGCACTGTGGAGCAATGAACCAGACAACCTTTTCTTTGGCTCTGAATTCCTAAAGTCCACCATGTTAGCATCCTTCTCCCAAGTTGTAATAATCACAAATATCTACAGGTGTTGTCATGTATCCCCATGGGGAAAATAGCCAAATTCAGTCTCAAGTTAAGCACACTGCCACAGAAGTCCAAAGATGGGGTCTTGGGGAAGTGCTCATGTAATTTCACTGATCAACAGCAATAAAGCAAAGGTTGGAAATAGGAATTTTGGATATTCATTGTTTCATCCATCTAGAGCCAATACCTACGTTTGGCTATTTACTTCTAAGCAGTATAGCAATCTGTTCTTTAAGTAGTCACACAATCTTCCATGATTCAGAAATGTTAAACTTATCGGTACTCCTTCCTTATGAATGTCAATGTTGGCTTGTTTTCTAGACACAGAACTACAGAGAAGGACCCTGACAACCCTGCCACATCCCTTGCCACTTCACTTTCATGTCTGTGTCTTGCGGTGAGGTTTCTACACCACTGTGTAAATATATACAGTTCATGGATTTGAGTATTGATAGGTGTTGAATCTGAGACAGAAAACAGCTACACATTCTTCACACAGTATGGATGTGTGCCCCCCTTTCCTACTTGCTTAATAGCAGTTATTGCAAGGCGTTAGATCTTGTATCTTAGATACTGAGTCTCATATAGCCCAGGTAGGCTTCATACTACACAGCTGAGGTCAGTTTTGAACTCCACATCTTTCTGCCTCTACCTCCAAAGTCCAGGGCTATAGCTATACACCACCACACCAGTTTATATGGTGTTGGTGATGAACCCGAGTCTTCATGCATGCTAGGCAAGCACTTGACAGAACTACGTCTCTAGATCCTGTACTAACTTTTTGTTGTTTTAATTTTTAATTATGTGTGTCTGTCTGTGCAGTGTGTACACTTGAGTGCTGGTGCCCATGAAGGACAGAAAAGGATATTTCTGTACAAGGGAAGACTTGCTCTAAATCACAGGTGTTGTGTTAGCTACATTCCAGGTTGTTGAAACAAAATCCCTGATAAGAAGGGACTTAAGGGAGTGTCTTAATCAGCAGTAAGGGAGTGTCTTAGTCGGCAGTAAGGAGTGTCTTAGCAGTGCTCTACTGCTGTGAACTGACACCATGACCATGGCAACTCATGTCAAAAAAGGCATTTAATTGG